TATTTGCATGCTGGGACTGCTGAGGCAATCTTAGAGCAGGTTCCTCAGACATCTCAACTCCACACATTCTGGACACTTATCTGGGACACTGACCCCTCAGGCCCACCTAGGCTCCCAGGTACCCATAATATGTCTTCCTCTGCAGGAAATGAGACTGACACAACCAGCAGAAGACTCCAATAGAAGAGGTCAGGCTGTCACCGTTTCATCATCCACGACACTACAGAAAACTATGCCTTTAGCGATCAGAGCAGGGGCAACCCAAAGCCATCTACATTTGATTCGGGATGCATGATGATGTTATAAGATGTTTTATGTTCTTAATTATATTTAACTGAGACTAATGATTAAATTTAATTTTCTTTCCTTGAGCAGACATTATTTGGGTAGTGAGTGAGTATCCCAGTTCAGCATGTATGGGAAAACAGAGCCAACAGGAGAGAGAAAATATTTTAATAATCTTTACCACAGATAATCCACTGAATTGCTAATAATCATACTATGAAGGGTTGGCATTGCTTATAAATAAATGGGTAAGTGCTCCAAAAATTTTAAAGTCCCTTGAGTCAGAAATCGTTGAGAGCATGTATAAATATGAGTCATTTAAAGTGAAACAGTTTTATATAATGGTTAAGAACTGAATTCAAGTATCAGTTCTCTCACTTACTGCTTGACTTAGGACAAGATACTTATACTTCTGAGCCAGTTTCCTGGTATTTTTATTTTTTATTTTTTTTTAATTTTTATTTTGTCAATATACAATGTAGTTGATTATTGTGTCCCATCACCGAAACCTCCCTCCCTCCTCCTTCTCCCCCCTCCCACCCAAGTGTGTCCCCTCCATTTTCTTGTTGTAAGAACTTCAAAAAAAAATGTGGTTGTTATATCTTCCTCTCCCCCCCCCCGGTTTTTTTGGGTTTTTTTTTGTTGTTTGTTTTTTTGTGTGTGTGAGAGTGTGTGTGTGTGTGTGTGTGTGTGTGTGTGTGTGAGAGCTAAAAGACAGCCAACAGAGTGGGAGAAAATATTTGCAAAATACATGTCTGACAAAGGACTAATATCCAGAATATATAAAGAACTCAAACAACTTTACAAGAAAAAAACAAGCAACCCAATTAAAAAATGGGCAAAAGAGCTAAGTAGGCATTTCTCTAAAGAAGATATGCAAATGGCCAACAGTCATATGAAAAAATGCTCAACATCACTCAGCATCCGGGAAATGCAAATCAAAACCACACTGAGATACCATCTCACCCCAGTTAGGATGGCCAAAATCCAAAAGATGCTGAAAGATAAATGCTGGTGTGGTTGCGGAGAAAAAGGAACTCTCTTACATTGTTGGTGGGAATGCATAATGGTGCAACCCCTATGGAAAATGGTTTGGAGGTTCCTCAAACAGTTGCAGATTGATCTACCATATGACCCAGCTATTTCACTGCTGGGAATATATCCAAAGGAATGGAAATCATCAAGTCGAAGGTATACTTGTTTCCCAATGTTCATTGCAGCACTCTTCACAATAGCCAAGAGCTGGAATCAGCCCAAATGTCCATCATCGGATGAGTGGATACGGAAAATGTGGTATATCTACACAATGGAATACTACTCAGCTATAAAAACGAATGAAATACTGCCATTTGCAACAACATGGATGGACCTTGAAAGAATAATATTAAGTGAAACGAGTCAGGCAGAGAAAAAGAAATTCCTGGTATTTTTAAAACCCTCTCACTATAATATGACTAGATTCCAGATAAATTACAAACAAAAAAAACTTCCAAGAATTTTAGTTCATATTTCATTCCCAAGAAAATAAGAAAAATGCCTCAATGACAATAATAATGATAATGATAATGATATGTGACCATTAGAAGAAACTGAGTGATGAGCATTCAGCAAACAAGAAGGTGGGGTGTGCTTGTGACAAATGCCTGGGCTCCAGGCCAGGAGAGTGGGAGGCTATGGCCCTTGCGGGGTGGGAGCTGTACCTGAGACTTTTGAAGTAAGCTGAAAGGCGCAACTCCCTTAGTGAAAGGTTGGGCTCCAAATGAATGACAGCAAAGGGAGCTAAGCAAAAACCCCATCTGTCTCCACAAAGGATCTGGGTTAAAAAAAAAAAAAAGATTAATATGGAAAATAATAATTAAAAACATCCTTGCACTTGGATCTGGAACAAGGTTGAAAGCTAAAGATCTAAAAATCTAGCCTAAGAAATTAGAAAAATAACACAACAAAATCAATCCAAAACATAAAAGATATATACTCACACCCACATTGTTAATAACTGAGGGCAGTCAGAAGCCATTGTTTTAAGGCAAGAACAGCACGGACTCTGGAATCAAACCATTTACATTCAAATTCTAGATCTGCTGTATGCCACCTGGGTTACTTTAGGCAAGCTAAAAAAAAAAAACCTCTGTGTCTCAGGGTTCATCAAGTGTAAAGTGGAATAATGATACCATTACCTCACAGGATTACTGCGAGGATTAAATAAATGGATTTCTCTAAAACACTTAGACTACACAGTAAATAATATATGCATTCACTATTAAGGTCACCATTACTGCTTCTATTCCACATTGTACCAGGGACCTAGACAGCATATTAGGAAGAGAAAAGATGTCATTATTCACATATGAGATGGCTGCCTTCACAGATCATTCAAAAAGCATCTTGAAAAACTTTATTATAATTGAAATTGAAATTTATTTATTATTATAGAATTAATATAAATTTGTTAGAATTAGAGAGTTCAGCATGTGGCTAGATATAAGAGTGATATGCAAAAGGCACTGATAACAGGAAATTCAATCCAGTGATGTATATTAAAAATATTATCTCACAACCAAGTTCAGTCTAACTCAGTAATGTAGCTAGTTTTACTATGAAGAATGATTTTACCTATATGAATTATAAATATTTAGGCTTATAGAGTATCAAGGCTTAGGGAACATGTCTTAGAATTGTAGGAGTTAATTAAACATGGCTAGGGGTTAGTAATGATACATAATTGTATTTAGTGTTAATCGCTTCAAAATGAAATTAAAAATAACTCAGTTGACTCCTTCTCTTTTCCTTTCCACCTGTGTACTGAAAGAGTATTTTGGTCTTTCTTCCCACTGCAGCTACACAGAAAGCCATGAATTACATAAACGTGCTTCACATTCTCTCAAAATCTAAAACTCATGCTTGCTCATGCTTGCTTTCGACACTGTTAACCACAATGTAACAAACACTACCTCCACAGATTAGACTACTTAACCTCTTGAGGCTCTTTCCATACCATAAATTAGCTCATTCATATAACTATAAGACTACTAATGAACTTTCAGAATCAAATCCCGAGAAATATTGAAGATCACATCCTTCAGAATTTAAAAATTAAATAAAAGAGGACTATTCACAGACAAATAATGATAGTGTCTCATGAATTAAGGTCTGTGACCAATCTACTTTTGTACTATAAAAAAAGACATTTTCACGGGCCGGCCCAGTGGCGCACTGCTACAGTGCATCGCTTGGGAGCTGGCGGCGCTCCCGCCAAGGGTTCGGATCCCACATACAGACCAGCCGCTCACTGGCTGAGTGAGGTGTGGGAGCAACACCGAGGATTGCGATCCCGTTGCCGGTCCCAGTCCAGTACAGGCGCGACACTGAGGGTTGCGATCCGTTGCCGGTCAGTAAAAAAGACAAAAAGGAAAAAAAAAAGACATTTTAATGAGGCCATGAAAGTAAACTAATACAACAGAAATAATTAATTACAAGAAAACATTTTATAATAGTTTATTTTACTCAAAATCACACTGATGAAGTATGTCTAACAAACTCCTAGGTAAACACCTCTCGTGTATAATACAATATTTCATTATGTTCAATACCACTGACATTGATTACATGGCTTATATTACTGACAAAGGACTTTTGACATTTTCAGCCTTAATTATAATCTTCAGTTTAAAACTATTAGCCTTTATTACTCACATATGCCCCATCAATTTCTGGAATTAATGGATACATTTTCTACTTAGAATGGCATTTCAAGCCTTATTACCTAAGGGCTTATTGTAAGACACAGATCTTTTGAGGCCCCTTAAAATTACTAAGAGATTCTGGAACATTAGTCAAATTATGCCCATACAAACAGTCTGACACATGCACAAACTTTTCCTTATAACAAAAAATATAAAGTAAAATGTAAGCTGAAATCAAATTTCTAATATAAATAAATACAAATGCTAAGCTATTAGAGCAGACATGAACTGTTTGCATTTCAATGGCCATCTTAATCAATATAGGACCTTATGAATATAAGAACGTTAGCATTAACCCTTGCATAGTTTCAAATTACTGCCAAAATACACACATTTTTGAAAAGACAGAGGTTTATTAACCTGGTATGCATATTAATAATCTGTATTTATCCATCTCATTCTGATCAACTTTAAAATGTAAGCATTTAATAACACAATAGCAGGTTGATTTAAAAAGGATCTAACAGAAAAAGCTAATCAAAAAAGACTTAAAAACTGAGAAACCAATATGCAAATGAGTTTGTCAAAGTACAATTACTAGAAATCAATCATTTGGAAGATGATTATTTCCCCCATATATTTAAATTACTGAAGGGAAGCATCAAGGAGAAAAAGCACTTGGGACTAAAGTTGTTCATGATAGTTTCTTTATAAATTGATCTATAATTTAATGTTTACTCCTATGTTCATTTTCAGTATTTTTCAATCAGTAATTTAAATTCAATAAGAATGTATTATAAAAAATGTTCAAGACAGGTAATCTTGAAACAGAAATAGATTATTTCAGGTGATTAAAAGACGAAAAGTGACAACATTTACCATTTGCTTCCTCTTGTATTTTAGGTTGATGATTTATTTGCATTTCTGCAAAAATAAAAGTGAAGTTCAGTTAATAATAGCTCTGTCTGATGACATTATAAGTGGGGAAAAAAAGAAGTATGACTTTAACTCTTTAACACTAGTAAATCTTTAGGATGATTTTTAACAATACAATACAATAGGACATATTACATAGCTAAAACACATCTTTTGTATGTTTTTATTCTCACTGTGTGGAATAACTATACATCTGATGCAAAAGGTATACTATCAAAGGGGATGTTCTGGAGGCAACTGGAGAATCATGTTCCATGACATCCAGATGTAATGAACCATCGTGTACTCTCATCTGACGATTTCATTATTGAAGATAAAGTTCAATTTCTGAATGAATTATTCCCTGAGACATGAAGGGAAGCCATCTGAGCAAAAAGGGAAAAAAAGAGAGAAACAGAAGAACAAACAGAGAAAATTAATTGTTGATTTTCTCGATTTTTACAATAAGGTGGATTCTGCATTAACTTTACACATTAAAAGATACTACAGGACTGGCTGGTTGGCTCAGTTGGTTAGAGCATGATACTGATAACACCAACATCCAGGGTTCAATTCCTGCAATGCCCAGCTGCCAAAAAATAAAAAGTAACTATAAAAATAGATTTTAATACAGTTAAACACAATACAACCCACTGCATACTCGTCATTGTGCTAAGAATGATATCTTAACTGTGGCTTGAAGAATAAAATACAGAAGTTGCTAAGCCTATAAATGCAACCAACTGGGGCTACAGCAGAGCACTTGCAAAGGAGCACAAGCAAGGGCAGGTGTAAGACTTTGAGCCTCCTACCTGAGCCAGCCTAGAAAGTGAGGCCTGCCCATTGGTTTGAGGGGCGCTTGGTACAAAAAAATAAATTCTACTATTTTAATATTTCCTCTATGGGAGTCTCTATCTTGCTTTCACATGACTTCCTCTAAAATACTTTTCTCAGCGTCTGAAAAAATAATCACATCTTAAAAGATGGTGAAAATATTACCACTTTGGAAAGTGTGCTTAGGGTGAATAATAGCTCACCCTGGCAGCTTCCCTCTAAACCAGCCAAACTTCTATGTTAGAAGCTCCCTCTTGCTGAAAAAGCAAGACAGGACTCAGAAAGCAGCTTTACCACTTACTGACTTAATGATCTTACCCTCTTGAAGCTTGGTTTCCTTGACTAAATTGCCTGCCTCACAGAACTGTTGTGAAGCTGAAATGGAAATTCATGTAACAGTACTTTGTGTACTAGTAAATGTACATAAATTTTGCTATACCACAAAAACCACAGTTATTGCTATCTCACATTCAAACATACTTCCATTCCTTACATCCATCTACCTATCCATTCAATAAGTACTTAGAAGGGGCCTTCTGTGTGCCAGGCACTTTGCTAAGTTCTGGGGCTGCAAGAGATAAGGAATCTGACCTGATGGACCTTCCAGTGTAGGAGAATGCAACAGATGTGTAAAGACATAAATGTAACAATGTACAGTGAGTGAGTGAGTGAAGTAAGAAATATGTACAGATATTATAGGAGCAGAAAAAGAGGCTGACCAACTCAGAATGGCAGGAATGAGGAAGTGCAAAGGAATGGAGAATAAAAGAAATTTCAACAAGGAAGCAATACTTGAGCTGAAGGTGGACAATTAGTAGATGTTTGGCAGGTGAACAAGATGTCAGGAAGGGCACCACAGAGGAAGAGACAGCACTGGCAAAGGTACAGAGATACAATGAGGTTCCATGTGGCTGAAGCACAGGAGGCTGCTGGCCAAGACAGGGGCCAAGGGGTTGTGTAGGGATCTGAGGATGTCAATGAACGCAGAGGCTGACCTGTGGGGCTGACTACCACTTCAGCCTTGAAACCAGCAGATGATGGCAAGATGTGTGGTATAAAGGTTAACTGTGAGCTCACACAGTCCTACTCAGCTGTCAGGATTGCTCGTCTCTCCATTTTTCAAAAGCTACAAGAGATCGAATTTCCTCCATCTTTCCAGCTACACTGTTATCTCCATAGAGAGTTTCTTTGTGTGCCAGAATAATGGCAGTCAGTTATATATTTAAGAATATAGGGTCTGGATTTGATGGGGAGTCAGAATGCCTTGTTTCTAAACATGGCTCCAACATCTATGATAGTACTTCAAAAAGTCTGTGAGAAAAGAGAATTAAAAGATTCCATGAATTACCCTCATATTAGCTGTATAATCTTGACCCACATTCTTGATCTCTCTAAGCCTCAATTTCCTCATTTGTAAATTATAAATAAGAACAGTACCTACACAATAGGAATACAGGACTAAATTTATATACATTTATCATGGCATCTGACATGTGATTAATGGTCAATAAACACCAGTTACTATTTTCTCATTTCCAGATTTAGTACTTTTTACATAGCTGGTGTTTTAGTAAATACATTTGGGTGATTGCCATTCAACCAACATCCATCTCCCCTTTTTCAGATGTGCCACGAAGAGGTGGGCCTTGAATAGTAATGTCTGTACCAGAGAACTTTTCTCTCATCCTAGCTGACTGGAGCAGAAATGGATACCTGACCCAGGCTTAGTCTATTAGATTTCTCTCTTCTTATCTTGACATAAGAGATACAGAAACTGTGATCTCCATTGTTGAGGCCAAAGATGGGGGAGAAAAAAACCTTCTAGAAAAAAACGGATACAGAAAGAAGAATGGAGATTTTTGGTGAAAAGACAACTTGAAAATCGAGAGTAAGTGGTTTTTTGATGGCTCTCTTGTCTGTGATGTCAAGCTTTATTTTTACAAGCTGGGTTCCATGAGAGTCACCTTCAAAGTTGCCGTTTCTAAAACTAGCTTTAGAGAATTTCTCATCCTTGCAGCCAGGCAGGGTTTATTGACTGAACAACTGAAATTTTTAAAAAATCAAACTCTAAAAAATCATTGTCTCTTATCTAGTCCATTTCTGAAAAATCTCTTCTATGATTTCTCTTTCTTCAGAATATACTGGACAAAAGCAATGCTATAACCCTGCAAGCCACACAAACACCTGAATACTGATTATCTATTAAAAATTCTTGCTTCTATATTATACTAGGTTCAGATTTCTTAAAACTTGGAATCATTGAGACTCTTTACTCTGCTTTTTTAAAAAAATTTTATTTTATTTTGTCAATATACAATGTGGTTGATTATTGTGGCCCATTACCAAAACCTCCCTCCCTTCTCCTTCTCCCCCCTCCCTCCCAACAATGTCCTATCAGTTTGCTTGTCATATCAATTTCAAGAAATTGTAATTGTTGTGTCTTCTTCCCTCCCCCACAGTTTATGTGTGTATTTCTTTATTTTTAGCTCCCACAAATAAGTGAGCATGTGATAATTCTTTTTCTGTGTCTGACTCATTTCACTTAATATAATTCTCTCTAGGTCCATCCGTGTTGTTGCAAATGGCAGAATTTCATTGTTTTGTATAGCGGAGTAGTATTCCATTGTGTAGATATACCACAGTTTTGGTATCCACTCATCTGATGATGGACATTTGGGTTGGTTTCAACTCTTGGCTATTGTAAAGAGTGCTGCGATGACCATTGGAAAACAGGTATACCTTTGACTTGATGATTTCCATTCCTCTGGGTATATTCCCAGCACTGGGATAGCTGGGTCATATGGTCGATCTATCTGTAATTGTTTGAGGAACCTCCATACCATTTTCCATAGAGGCTGCACCATTTTGTAGTCCCACCAACAATGTATGAGAGTTCCTTTTTCTCCACAACCTCACCAGCATTTATCGCTCTCAGTCTTTTGGAGATTAGCC